TGATATGCAAAACAGAATATCTAGACAATTTAAACCCATTTTGAAACAAGATGGAAGATTAATAAGTACAGAAAATGGTGGGAGGGTTTCAGGAGGAGAGTTACTTAGATTTTAGTTTCATGCTATGCCTTTAAACACAAGGATTTGATATTTATAGCTTTGATCACCAGAACCCTTCTAGAGCCAGGGAACTTCTAGCATTAGTCAAAGTCTCTGTCATGAGTGAGCTATGCCATTAATTAGTTTGTATCTTTCCACAAGTCAGAATTTATTGAGTAACAATAAACTCAGAGGTGGGCTGGGGATGTGCTTGGTGGTACAGCACTTGCCTGGCATGCATGAGGCCTTGGGTTCCACCCCCAGCACCAAAAAAAAAAGAAAGAAAGAAAATCCCAATGAGTTGGAGTCTTCGCCTAGGAATAGGACCCATGTTTTACTCCTTTTCTAAATATAAATGTCTCTTGAGAGCTTAAAATGTTTTCTAATAACGTAATCTTAGGATTTTTTGAGGTTAATGAGAGACTTTTTCAAAAGGTGGAAGTGAAATATCATACAGTTTTGAAGTAATTATTAAATAAGAAATGTATAACTGATCATATAGCAAATGTGAATATATGTCTACTTATATAGATTATATGGGTCAAAGCTGTTTTTTTTAAAAGAGAGAGAATTTTTTAATATTTATTTTTTAGTTTTCAGCGGACACAACAACTTTATTTTTATGTGGTGCTGAGGATCGAACCCAGCGCCCCGCACATGCCAGGCAAGCGCACTGCCGCTTGAGCCACATCCCCAGCCCCTGTTATTTTTTTCTCTATGCAATACTAGTGATAGATTTGTTTTAACCTAGAATAAACAAATACTCAAAAGTCTTTTTTAGAGCTGTAAGTCATTACATTTTAAGAGCAGTTGTTTCCTCAGTTATTAATTTAGTGTGGGATGGGCTTCCCAAGAGGGAGACAGATATCAGCAGGCTGGCAAAGTTAAGTTACAGATGGTTTGCAGTAGTGTTGAGGATGGCACTTTAAAAATGGTTTGGAAAAGAAAATAACTGGTTATAGACACTAATAATTCAGTTAAATTGTGTGAATCATGAGTGACTTTGGGATAGGTCAGAAAATCATAAAACTTTGTTTCATTTTCACATATTGTATGTGGAAAAATGCATGGTTGCAAGTCATAGAATATCAATCATTTTTAAATTAAATATTTTATTAAAAATAGTAAATGATTACTAAAAAGTAGAGAAAATTCCTTTAAGCAAAAATTATCAAATATCATTCAGTGTTATTGTTTTTCTCTTCCCTCTTAGATTGCCCTTTTTGTTGGTGGTGATGGTGGTGATG